GCCTGAAACACAACCTTCTAAGTGCAACCAGCATGTTAAACCCCACACCAGGCCATAGAGCTACAATGTAGCCTTTCTATCCAGCCAAACAGCAAATAACATTACCATAACTTATCTTATTAAATCGCTCGCAGCGCCCATGGGCAAGATCAAGCGTATCCTGTGTTCTGATTGGCTACCAGAGCGGTCAAGATGGACCCATCTTGCCCGCTCAGGATTGCTCACATGGATCCCACGCATGAAAAAAATAGAATTACAACTACGTTCGTAATTCTTGGACAATTTCGGCGATGGAGACGCAAAAAGCAGCAGAAGATAGTCAAATCAAAAAAACAGAAACGACTCTCGTGAGTCTGTTGTGCTACAAACACAGTTGGCTTTCTTTCCAGGCTCTCGAAGAAAACGAGTCATTCTTAACACAGTGAGATCTTCTTGGAATGTAATAAATCCTTTATTAACCAAGCTTGTTCCGTCAAGATGGCTGGATATTAGCCTCATTCTTTTTTTGAACTTTTTTTTTTTTTTTCATAAAAATGTAAAAAAAGAACTCGGCCAATATCCAGCCATATTGACCTCACGCTTGGTTAATAACACATATATATTTTCTGTAACTTGTTGAGAAATAAAGACTGCATGCTGCTTACTTGTGTAAAGAGTGCATTGTCATATATTTCATGAGAACAAGTTGAACCATATGTGGCTGGAAAAACAGCAAGTTTTCATTATTGTATTCCTCTTTCAGCCACTTTCTCAAAACACCCATACCCTGAAAAAGACATCAATGACAATTTTTAAAAACAGACCATTATAAAGGTGTGTACTTAGTTGCCAAGCTTTTGATTTGGAGTGAGGCTGAGGGTGACCTTGTTGTGATAGAGACCTGTATCTTGGTAGCATGATAATAAAGTAATTTACATTATTTTGAAAAGCACCAGCATTTGTATCATAACAAGGTCACTCAGCCTCACTCTTCTTCAAAAGGCTTGGCAACCAAGCAAGCAACTGTAAAATGGACTGTTAAAAAAGTTATTAAAACGATAGCAAGTTTTATCAAGAAATCCATATCTAGGGGAAAAAAGACTTTTCCATGTTTACATATCTTCATCCACACCCCAAGAGGATTTCTATAATGCTGGGAAGTTATTCAAACTTTGAGTAGTCTTTAGTTTGCCTAAATATTTAAATTAATAGCCTATCATTTTGTGACTTTTGTGATGCTATTCCAGTAATATCAATAAAATCCAATCTGCTGCAGGTAGAGATTCTCAGGAGCTAACAAGGTTTTATATGGAGCGACCATTAATCATGATTGACACCCCAGCTTCTTCACCTCCAGGAGATTAAAACTTTCCTGAGGCACCAATTAGCAAAGGTGACAGATATAAATTATGTATGCTATATATGGAAGGAAAAAAGGGACACTAGAAGCAAGGGAGGAAAGGACCAAGGAACAAGGTTAGATGGAAGGAAGGAAACAAGGGAAAATGCACAAGTTTTCTCAACAAACCTCATCCCTATCTGATGGTATTTCATGATTTGAACAGCTGTTGCACTTCAAATAAAACTGGGGTCCCTTCCCTTCTGCAGTTTCTTCTACCTGTACATATCACAAATTGATTGCCAAAAGTTAACAGAGTGAACTTTATAAATGTTTCCTTTCAAGTTAGAATTTGCACTTGATTCCTGGGTTGATACACGCGCATGCGATATACACCAAACCAATACAGGATCTTTTCTTTCTTTATTCCTTTCCTATTCTTTGAGGGGTGGAGGTGCAGTAGTCTCATGGCTAGTGTGCTCGACTCCTGATCAAGTGGTCCGAGTTAGAGCCCTGGACAGGGACATTGCGTTGTTTCCTTCGGCAAGACACTTTACTCTCACAGTGCCTCTCGTCACCCAGATGTATAAATGGGTACAGGCAAATTTAATGCTGGGGGTAACCCTGCGATGGACTAGCACTCCATCCAAGGAGGGTAGAATTACTCCTAGCTGCTTCATGCTATGGAAACCGGAGTTAAGTGCCGGCCCAATGGGCCACATGGCTCGTAAGTAGGCTTACTCTTTGAGGCGTTCTTATATCGAAGCAGTCAACTGAAATCATTATGTGAAGAAATTACCTAGTAGTACGCATTATGCCATCATAGCTTTAAGAATAATATCAGTTTGGGCAACAAGCACATGGCAATTAAAAGAAACAAGAAAAGTGAAAAACTAGCAATAGGTTTCGCTTTGAATCACAACTACAAGTTAACATTATCACAAAATGAATAGTTGCTTACCAACGTTCGCAGGTCTTGACTACTTTATCGAGGATTACGGTCTAACTTGTCTCTATTTAGAAACGATCTTGATTATACGAAGTCTTATCCTGAACTGAAACACTAACTATAATTTTCTGTCTAAAATGAACTAATTACGGAGGTCTTTATCAAACCACAAAATATTTCACAGTTTCTCTTGGAAGTGGTAACAAATTAACTTTAACAGAAGCAGTTACAAACTTCTGTAAGGTAGAGAGGGGGGGTGAGGGGCAATACTGCACCTACCATAAGGTTTGCACTGTGTGATCCATTATCCCAATCGCTGTAGCACATGACAGCAACCTTTCCACCTTGTATTCTTACATCAAATATAACCTTGGGTCTTAATGAACATTTTATATCAGGGTCAAATGGTGCACGACAATCAACAGCCTCAATCTTACCTGGGGAAATCTGTAAATGGAGAAATGTGAACAGTGATTCAGGATGTGACTAGAACATTATGATGCAGTATTCAACATATTTTAGAACACTCATGGAACTTATATATAGGAGCAATGTCACATTGTGAGTTTGCACATTGCAGGTTTGTGATATATCAGACATGCCACATTGGAAAATAGCCCAGAAATACTAAGGGTAATGGCTAAGAAAACTTGTGCCATACACTGAGGAAAGAGGGAAATATGGTAAGCTATGTTCAGTTTGTTCATTTTTTCTTGTTGTAAAAATTCCTACAGTACTGAAAATATTTAAAGTACCTACTCTCACAGCCCATTACTTGTCTCCAGTGCTACTCTCTAAAAGGAGTGTTAGGGAGTGAACTATTCCTTTAAGCATTGGAGGAAGTATTGCCAGCATATGTAACTTCAGTCACATTAATAATGACTTTTTCCATATTTTGTGGCTCCTAAAGGAGCCTTTTGGCAGCCCTTTCATTAAAAGCTCTTCTTGTGAATGAAACAAAACTGTCACCCATCAAGGGCAACAGTTTCTAAGGCAGCTGAAGTTGTTGCATGAACAACCAATGGTTGCTTCATAATCTCTTTTTGATAGCCTTCAAAGCTGTGCTCTAAGAAAAATTGAAGGGAGCTCAGTGCTCTGAAACTGTGAAATCCAGGGTGCCCAGCAGATGTTTTATATGAAAAAACTAAGACTCCTGAGTGGTCCAAGAGCAAAAGTAAGGGGCCAGGGGGCAGCCAGCGCTGCTAGACCACAGCCCTGGCCTTGATTAACAGCTTTGGATCTGATAGCCTCTCCAGGGTACTGTGTTATAACTTTTTGTTCATTGTGCGATTCATAGCAATCCCAGAAAAATCCCATCTGCAATTTGAGCTGTCTCCATGAGCCCATAATCAAGCTCAGAGAGCACCCACAAACATCAGAACAGTAACCTCAGGTGTATTTCTGGTAAGTTGTTTCTGTCACCTTTAGTGGCAAACTTAAGATATCATCCTAGGGATTGAGTTGAACTGACCTTGGTCCATTCTACAGCTAAATGAAACTTGATTTATGCTGCCATACTCAACAGGACAAGAAGGTCAATTTACAAAATAAATCAACATAATCTGGCTGACATAGACCACTGATAACAGGATTGCCATGTCTCAGAGCATCAACGTGGCCACTTCATTTTTCAATATCTACATTACTTAAAATGAACTTTCTACTTGCTTTCCAAGACTAGGACTCCTTTAAGCACAAGTTTACCGTTTCTGTTATCCATCTTTGTTGGTTGTTGACTCATTTCTGATGAACACATCAACAGAATTGGCATTTTAACCATTTTTTTTTTATCCTGTGTCTTTCTTTGCACCAAGCTAGCCCCAATCATACATTTAAAGACAGGAGAAAAAAAAACAACCTTACCCTAATATGAACCAAACCACCATATGGATTTATATTGCACTTCCAAACACCAAGTAAACAGCCATACTGGTGTAGCACTGGAAAAATTATGGAAAATTTACAAAGCAAACAAAAATTAGAACGAAATATAGTTAATATCAAGCTGTAATGAATTTAAGTGTCATTTAGGACCTCACTTACAATGTAGGGCACTTTGTCACAGTTTGTAATTGTGAAAATGGATGATGTTTTCAGAGATCTATGTTAATCTCTTCCTCACATACACTTACTCATTAATCTATATGTATAGCGCATCAAAGAAAAAATCATTAACCTCACCCTTGGTACTTGGTGTTTTTCTATCTAAAAGAGTATCATTTCTAAATTTACTTCTGATCAAACGCAATTTTTGAGGC